CACTTCCAGAGACAGTTGTAAGCACTGTGTAACTGCCTCGAGGGTGCTCGACCATTGTAACACAACGTTGTGCGATCATTNCGGCGAGTCGCATGAAGGGTGCGCTGCATCCTGCTAAAGGTGTTCGGTATTTTGTGCTTACTTCCTTGCATACGGATGACAGCTGCGCCTGACTTATTTTTTTTTGTGGTGCTTTCACTTCCAGAGACAGTTGTAAGCACTGTGTAACTGCCTCGAGGGTGCTCGACCATTGTAACACAACGTTGTGCGATCATTCCCCTTGCGTGGAGTGAGGGTTCTCCACCCCGCCCAACATGATCCACTCGACCACCACTATGGTTACCGCCAAAATAAAACAGAGGTGAAAAAAAAAAACGGTAACCTTGTTGCCGCGAGTTCACGAAGGGAATTGGCTTGTTTTACAACGTCGTTGCCAAGCGACGGAAACCCAATGCCGATGGCAAACACCGAAGGGGTGGCTTATTTTACAACGTCGTTGCCAAACGACGAAAACCCAACCCCGATGGCAAACACCAGGGGGGGACGAGGCAGGGAGGGAGCGGCCAATAGAGCCGAGAGAAACGCGGAATGATATATACTGCCTGCTGCCATCCTTCCTTGTGAGCGTCTCTTGGTACGCACCCACAGGCAGATTGATGGCGAGAGAACGAGGCATAAGAATAATCCAGCAAGGTCCTGATTCATTGGTTCTGTTCCCGATTGGCACTACACATCTACACATACAAATACATGCACACCGCGTGGTAGTCCTAGGTCCAGAAGTGTATATATTTTTCCTAAATATTTGTGATCACGGGCCGAGTTTATTGTGAAGACAACAACAACAACAACAACAACAACAGCAACAACAACAACAACAACAACAGCAACAACAACAACAACAACAAGGCCAAACTTGCTGGTTTGATTTTTCTTGCTCGCCTAGTGAGAATACAGGCGTGACGAGAAGTGCGTGAAAAAAGGCACGGGGTGCAACTCACAAAACGCGACCACACGGCTCGGTACACCTTTTGCGGTGACAGCAAAGTAAGTGCACCGTGCCCGCGGGAAGTGTGTTGGTTCCAGTACCCTATGAAGCTCTTCTTGATGCCCATCACCATTGACACGCCTCTGTTTACGCACACATTTATCTTCATCCGTGCGCAGTGGCCAACAACATCGTGACGGTCGGAAGCGAGGGGCGCGGCGAGATCCTTGCGTCACTCTTAGACGGCAACACCGTGCACGCTGCCGCCGGCACCCCGAAGGATGACGACAACATCGACACCAACGACCACGACAACAATACCAAAAACAGCAGCAACAGCAGCACAATAACATCCACCAGGCGAAGCAAGCGGGGCTTCGTTACCCACACGGGGAGCTACAACGGAGTGCCCGTGTCGATCGTGCTGATAAACATGGGCTACCCAAATATGGACTTCTTCGTGCGGGAGGTGAGGGCGGTGACGACGGGACCGCTCCGCATCATCCGCCTCGGGTCTTGCGCCGGATTGCGCCCCGACCTGCCCGTCGGCAGCGTGGCGGTTGCGAGCGAGGGCTCCGTGATGATTCGCCAAAATCCGGACGCCTGGGAAGGGACGGCCACGAGAGGAGAAGCCCACGGCGAGCCATACCTGTTCCACGGGGTGGCCCCCGCAGACGAAGAGCTGTCCGAAGCGCTGCTGAAGGAGCTCAAGAGCTCGCTGGATGGCAAGGCGGGCGGCAGCGACGGCGGTGGCGGGACGGCCGTGGTGGGATGCTTGAATGCCTCGGCGGACAGCTTCTACAGCAGCCAAGGTGCGGGAGGCGTTGAAACGAGTCGGTCTCGTGGACGATGCCCCATTCGATGGCGAGGCAGTCACAAAATTTGTTGCAAACATACGTGGTAGGGCGTAACTTCGCAACCCTACCCGAGGATCACGCGATGGGTCCCGCACAAAGACGGGTGTGGCACAGACAGGTCGGAGGACGAGCTCTGAGCAACCTCTCGATTTATTTCCATCCGACACCGTTCTCTCGCGACCATCGTTCGTTTGTCGCCTCAGGCCGTCTCGACCCAAGCTTTGAAGACCGCAACAGCGATATCTTGTCGAGTTTGCTAGAGCGACACCCCTCGGCGGGGAGCTTCGAGATGGAGACGTTTCAGCTGCTGCACCTCGCCCGCCTCTGTCGAAAGAGCAAAGTGCAGGCGTCGGCCGCAGCCATAGTGGTGAGAGCGGCAGAGAGGTTGAGGGAGAGTAGCTCGGTGACGACAAGTATCACCCAGTGTTTTTTGAAGTGGAGGAAATGGGCACAAACTCGTGTGTCGTGGTTGTTGGTGTTTTGTCCAGCGTAAGGCTTCGGCAATAACGCTCGTCTTGGTTCCGGAGCTTTTTTTTAGACATGGAGAAAAAAACACGGCTGGCGAAAGGGAGGTTATTTCTCCTTTCGCTCTGTACCTCACACGTGCTCATCCCTCCCCCTCCCCCCCCGAACCCTCTGTTCTTCCTTTGGCGCCCAGCTTGCCAACCGGATCGCAGACGACTCTATCGCAATCGACAGGATCTCACGGATCGAGCGCGCAGCGGGGGAGGCCGCCTTGCGAGCTGTCACGTCCTTCGGCAACGCCTGAGATACGCCACGGGAGGAGTTACGCATTTCCATGCGTTCTGGGAACTGTACGCGTGCCGCATCCTCCTCTCTCCCCGTGGCTTTTGTGTTGGGTCGCCTTGTGCTTCTTTCTCGTCGTTGGTAGAATATCGGCTAGCTTGACGAGATGATGGCGGGCATTGGAGGTCATGACAACGGGAAAAAAAACTCCCCAAAATTTTCATTGCTACTGCCGTCGCGTGGTCGTGGGCGGCTACTCCGTTCGGTAACTTTGTCCAGCCGCTGGCGGGTTCGGCACACTACACGCCGTCACCGCTGTTACAGGTCAATCGTGCGAATTGGGCACGAGGTACATACCTTTGTTACAAAGTTATTGGTTCGATGTCTGTTGGTAGACAGACTGTCCGCCCATGTGCCTCTCCCTCTGGCTGCCCCTGGCCGCCGATTGATCGCCTCTTCGCTCCGTCGTGTGTATGCTGTGCTATACTAGTGGACCGCTCCCTGATGAGAACCAGCATGTATTCTACATGTTCAAACTTAACGTGTGACCCTTTTTTCGTTGTCCCATAGCAGAGGAGCGGAGAACGTCAGCGTTAGTTACTGTTTTCGCAACAGTGCCGCAAGTTAGCCTCTTATTTTTTCTACTTTTCGGACCACTGTTCTCTCGTGTCTATACTGTATTGCCTTCGTGTGTTGGGTATTGTCAGCGACGCTGGCGGGAGAGTTGCCTGATAAACCGGGGAATTTGGGGTCTAGGGCCAAGAAAGGGTGCATATAAACCCCGCAGCCGGAGGATCGAACAGGGTTACTGTCAATATTTTCCGGGCATACAAGCTCACAACCACCATATGCGGGCATCGACGTGTGGCTCCTCCGATTCCAGTTTTCACCGATACCGTAGGCGAGGGGTGTGACGCCACCCTCGCGACACTGCCACCGGTCGTAGCACGCGTGAAAGCGCACGGCCACACGTTGGGAACGAACGGCGCAAGTACCGTGCGGTTGGTCCGGCGGCAGTCGGTGATAACGCAATAGAGTTAGCGAAAAAAACGCTTTTCACGGACTGAAACGTCAGGTTGGTGGGCGTGATTGCCTCTAATGCATTCTGCTCTGTTCTTTTTGATCGCGTTGAAGGTCAAGGTTTGCATTTGCTTCTATCTGCCGCGCAAACAGCGGGTTAAGCGCCCCTTGTGCAGGCATCAACCACTCTCACTCTTGACTCTTCGTGCAGAATGTGTTCGAAGCACAGGAGTAGCTTTGGCACAACGGAGAAAGATTCCAGGCAGCAACGCCGGGGAAAAGGAGCTTTGGTTTTTGTCGCTTTCACAATTTAAACCGTTCCGGTCTTCGCCCAGTATCTTCTTATGTCCGCACTGCTGGTCCAACTGACGCCGACGGCTGTGGATTCTACTTCTAATTCCAAAGCAAACAACTACCAAGTGCCACGCAACACCTAGCTCAGTCTGTGATAACCGCATCTGCATCTGGCTCGCGCTACACCCACCCGCCAACAACAGTTGGACTGCCACTTCGAGATGAAAACATCGATCAACATTTAACATCGCGGCATGATATACCCGCACACCATGAAAATGCCCTGTCGCTACGGACGCTTTGCAGCCCCCATCCCTCACAAGACGCAGTCTCCGACAAGTGCCACACAAGCACAAAAAATCACCGCCGCCTTCTTCCCCTTTCCTGGCAACAACCGCCCATAATTACTTTGCCCCGGTTCCCCACCCCACTGAAAAACTAAAACATCAAATTTCTACCCCATAATTTGGAGACGTCGACAACCAAGACCTCCTCTGTGCCTCGAAACGCCGCTTGAAACGCGGACGGATTTTCCCATATACTGTACAAATCGACACGCACGCATTTAGATATCACGTACTGTAGCACCACGTTGTATCTCCCAACCGCTTCCAGTGTATTACAAATCGGATCCTCAAGTCTGGGTCGTGCATCCACGACCTCCTTTGCAGCACATCAAACGGCTCCTACGCCGCGACTTCGGTCTCGAACGATACAGCGAGGACACCTTCGCTGGTGCCACTGCAAACGTTAACGTGGCCTGCAGCAGCCAAGCGTTTATTCTTTTCGCCGTCCATGCCCTGCTACATACCCGACGCAGCACACCCAACTACGGGCTTTCAAGTATTTCGTCTCATCAAACAACACGCACGGATCAACAAGCCTCCATATACATACCACACCGACTCCCCGAACGCAAAATAGTTTTCGGGGATGTGACAACACCAAATGAATCTTCGGGATGCATCTTCGGGATGTAACAACAAAAAATGAGGCATAAATCTCTCCCACACTCGGTTCTCCTTCGCGACGAGCAACACCCACGATTTCCCCGCATCACGTAGGACCCAAATGAACAAATGCTGCACCTGCCCCCCACAACCGGCCGCTCTACCGCTGAACGCGCGCCATGAAGAGTTGGCCACCTTCAACACGCACCGCCACGTCTTGACAATACGCTTCCAGCGGCTCTGTGGAGTACTCTATCTTTTACTTACCTTCTCAGTTTAGCACGCCATCATGGGGCTGTGATATTTCCCGGTCCAGCTGCTCAAGGAGCCGACTAGCTCTCTACCTCGGACGCAGGTTTATGTCTCGAACCGCGGCCGCTAAGCCACGTTCAGTGGGAAGCGAAAGGTGGGTTCAAACTTAAATTCAATACATTTGCTCTTCTTGAAGCACCACCCACTCTCCCAGCGAAGCTAACAGGTTCCAACGGCACAAGTCAGCTGTTTGATCACTGCTTCTGCAGTTGACGAAACGGCACACGCGCCTCTGCCGCTAACCCCTCCCCGCGTTCGGCGCTGCTGTCCTTCTCCCGCTCCTCCTCCTCCTCCTCCTCCTGCTGGTCGTTATTGATCGCTCTCGCCCTGGTGGCCGCCCGCAGCTCGGTCGCCCGCTTCTCGTGCTGCTCGCGCTTCGCCTGCCACTTCCGCAGGCTCTCGAGGTCGGCGAGGACCCGGCGCACGTGCGTGTGAAGGATGGCGTAGCGCTCCAGGCGGTCCATCTCCCTCGCCTCGATCGCGTGGCCGAGCACGATCAGCCGCCCCTTCCCGGACTCCGAGTCGAACGACGGCCAAAACACCCGCGGCCGGAGGGTGCCGTTCGGGTCGCCCCCCCGGGCGAACGCCGTCCAGTAGTCAGGCATGGCCGACGCGAGCCGCTTGTCCTCGGGCCCCCCGATGAACCACGGCCGCGACCCGAAGGCGTAGGGCACCTCCGCGCCGTGGAACGCCCCCACGGTCTGCCCCTCCCGCGGCGGCGCCGCCGCGAACAAGTAGACGAAGGTCGGCTGCCGCAGGAGCCGGTGGTGGTGGGACGCGAGCCAGTGCACCTTCTGCCCGAACACCCGGTCCGTAAAGAAGTCGCAGTCGGACGGCGACCCGTCCTCCGCCCCCTCCCCGGTCTCCCGCCACGCGGGGTCGTACAGGTCCGCGAGCGACGCCGCGCCCTCGTCCCCGTACGCCTCCCTGCCGGCCTCCCGCACCGGGCTCGGGTACAGCGCGTCCCGGATGCGCGTCCGCGAGTACGTGACCGGGTAGCAGAGGCTTCCCTCGTCCGCGTTGTTGCCGATGAGCAGCGGCACGGGCGCCTGCTCCCCGAGCAGGAACGACTCCACCGGCGGCTTGGGGATCACGTGGCCGTCGACCACGGGGTAGAAGAGCTGCCTCGGCTCGGGCCGCTTGGTGCCGTCCTGGTAGTAGGCGTTCATGATCTGCCGCAGCGGGGTGTTCCGCAGGCGGGACACCTGGCCCCGGTCCGCGCCAACCAGCCTGAACGCAAAGTCCACCCCGTTGTCCTCGGAAGGGCGGAAGCACGCGAAAGGCTCCCGGAGGTGCATCAGCGAGTTTGGCGTGCAGGCCGGCGACTGGCAGATCGCCTTGTGGAACAGCCCGCGGGCCAGCGATGACGTCATCATGTACAGCACGCTCTCCCCGCCGGCGCTGGAGCCCATTATCGTTACGTTATCCGGGTCGCCGCCGAAGGAGGCGATGTTCCGCTGCACCCACCGCAACACGGCAATCTGAGGGAGGAAAAAATGAGAACAGGGCATCAAGGATTGGGGCGTTTCACGCCCGGTCAAACACTATGCTGGCGGAAAAGGCGATGGCAAGAGAAAGCAGGACCCGCGGGACAAACTCTGCCCCCTGCTGTAGTGCTTGCGCGTTTCTTCTCCCCTTGTGATCCGACACAACCATAGGTTTCTCGATGCCCCTTTCGGCTTATGCGTGACAGCTGCATAGAAAAGGCCCTGGCCATCTACCTAACGCATGATACGCGGAAGGTCTGTCTCTTCGGCGGTGCCCCCTTCAAATTTCGGGGAAGGGTTCAGCATTTCTCAATCCCCTGTCAACAATTTTCGAAGTTGAAATAATTCTTTACACACACGAACTAAACATCATAAAGTGCCTGCATACAGCAGGATGTGCAAACCATGACCTTCACAGTCGGGACAAAGCTACTCGTACTTTACAACCATCTGGCGTACAGCACGTTTACAGGAAAGAGCAACAACGTCGGGGTGACACACTCAAGGCTTTCCTTCCAGAGTACTTCAAGCACTAGCACTGGCCAAGTGTTGGAGAGGTAGATCTACATTCCACACAGGGATCCAAGGGTCTCGCGAGGGGCTGGGAGAGGGGTTCATCCCTCGCTTTTGAATAACAGAGTGCCGCGGTAGTAGCGAATGCATTGATAATATTGCTACGGGCTCATGGACGACGAGCGTGACAACGGGGGACAATGCGGTTTATCATCCCTGGGGGGAGGATTGGGGTCCAGCGTTTGAGCGGAACCTTGGGAAAGAAGATTTTTCCTCGGACAAGCAATTCGTCGACGTCCAGAATAGATCACTTTTTTTTTGTGTGTCAGATCCAACTTGATCAATAACACGTGAGCAATCGCGCCCACTCCACACTCAATCGAAGCACATTCGCGCTGCCAACTAAAACCGCCCTAGGATTTAATTCCTGGTACAAAGGTAGCGAATTCGCTCTGCCGATAAAAACGCACTAGATATAAGGGAAACCCTACATACAGTAGGACTAGGAAGTTTGCTCGCCTGATCAAGGATGCTGTAGTTGCCGGACACGGCCGGCCGTCCCGCCGCCTCCGCCTCCCTCGACAGGTCCGGGTGGCAGAAGTGCCCCAGCAAACCGAGCCGGTAGTTGAACGTCACCAGCACCACGTCGCCCTTGATGGGCAGCGCGTTGGACAAGTAAAAGGGTCTGCTCGCGCCCGCGCCGTCGTGGTAGTCGCCGCCGTGAATGTACACAAGCACCGGTAGTCTCGCCGCAGCACCCGCAGCACCCGCAGCACCAGCACCAGCACCATCCGCAGCCGTGCTTTGCGCCGCTCCGCCGGTGCCTTGCGTAGTGGGGGTGGGCGGCGTGTCCTCAGGCCCGCTGCTCGGAGGAGGGGAATCGCCGGCGTCTCCATCGCCTCGGTGGGGGGGCGGCGAAGCACCGAGGTCCCCGACAACAGACGGGCTTACCGTGCGCACGTTGAGGTACAGACAGTCTTCGCTTTGCTTCGCGGCGAGCCTCGTTCTTAGCAACCTCGCACCGTGGATGTAGGCCTTGGTTTGCACGGTGCCGAAGGCGTGCTTTTGTACGGCGGCGCGGAGGAAGCCCATGAACTCCATGCCCAGCTGAGGGGCCTGCGGAAAGCAGCGGGCAGGGGCGAGGAGGGTGCAGAGAGGGAGGGGCACGAAATACAAGAGACGTGTACTTCATATGTACATACCTGAGAACGTCTTCAATCGAGTTGAGTAAGATTCCGTCGGCAGTGCGCAGGTGTCGTCAATAGCACACCGCCCGTTGGTACCACCATCCTATAGTATGCACGAACACATGAGGCTGGTGCTGAGAATGCCAGGATTACGTAACTTGTTGCCAGTGCATGACGGGAAACCGGGAGGTTGGGGTTCATGTGTATACAAACGTGCAATGTAAATACAAAAATACACGTTCTTAGCAAGACCGAGAACAGTTGGTACGGGAGAACGAGGAGATGATAAACGCATGACAATTTTATATCTCTTTCGCCGCCCAGCTGAAACGATGTAAACGGAGACGTACAGCAGTTATTTTCCATCCAGACGTTTCACATCGGCCCACGGGCCACCGACATCCCCAGAGATATGGCACGCACTCGTCTCGGCTCCTGCCCGAACAGCGCGTCACAGCAGCCGCACCAACAGGTCTTTGTGCCACCTTCTTCCTGCTGCTTACGTTCGCCTATACAACTGATACGCTACGGACGGTGGGCCGCCTTTGCGAGATTAATATTTGATGAGGAAGTAAAAGAACAGAGATGGGGTACGGAAACCCTATTCTAATCCTGACCCTAACCCAACTTCCCCGATTTTATACTTTATCCAACATGTTTACCCGATTGTATGCTTCATCCAACATGTTTACATATTACGAAAAACACTGCAAAGGCTGCTGGCTGCGGTTTGGAACGTGGAGAGGTTGCGGCACCGAAAGGACATGGGAATAGCTTTGCAGAGATGAGAGAAACAGCAAGCCCATGAATACAGCGTTTACAGCGTTTAGCTTCCGGGTGTACGTAAAAGCGACAGAGAACCTCGAGATTTTTTATCGTCCCGTCAGATCGATATTGTCTCCCCAAAACCTAAAAATAAAAAATACACCCCAAACCCTAAACATATTTATATTAGTATGTGTTCGTAATTAAATTATTTTTCGTTTGAACGGAGACATAATGCATCGTAGGAAAAGTGTTTCGTACGCTGCTGACCGATAGGATAATGGGAGAATTGGAGAAGGAACATAGTATTAGTGAGGGCCAGGCAGGTTTCCGAAAGAAGAGGGGGTGCGTAGACCACGTAATCACGTTAGGGAGAATCATCCAAGGTCGAACGAGGGCGGGAAAGCCGACGTACTGCTTCTTCCTGGACGTGAAATATTGACACTCGAGGGATTGAACCCACTTTAATACATAGCGCTCCAGCCTGCCGAATTTTCTAGAGTGGGAAATTCTGGTTCAGTTCCGGCGATAAGTTACTTCCGCTTATGAAATACGATCGAACCGTGAAAAAAAGCGAGATTGAGCGAGCGACACCGTATCTGGAAATCTATTTCGTCAGGGTCGCATCATCGTCATCATCCCCTGATGTGTTTTCGTTACCTCTTTTGTGAAGGCGGGAGGAGTAGGAAGTAATAGGTGCTGTGCTGGACAGCTACAGCAGTACATGGTGTCAACAAGAGGTTCATGCTGAAAGGATAATACAAGAAACCTTTAGCACCACCAACATCAACGACGTCTGCTTTCCGCATATAAGGTCCGGTTTAGCCGACAGCCAGTTCTTTCGATGCGCATTCAGAAAAAAGGGGCTAGAAGAACGGCGGGTAAGCAAGATACTTACAATCTACACAACGACCTATTTGCTTCATATTGCCCCTTTGTATGAGGTACTGCTGTAGGATGCTCATCTCAGTCGGCACAAGCGGCGAAGCGCAAACGATGCACACGAGCGTGCTCAACAATACGGGCGGGACTCTGCTGCTGCTGCTACTGCTGGCTCTGCAAGGAAATCCACGCCAGCTGATAGTCAGAGGCTAAGTACACGCTACTGCTGTACACGTGCGTGTGCGGTTTGCGGCAGGCACTGGCAGTATATGTGTGACGAGCCATGCGTCACCCATCCGTAACGGCTCTTTGCCGCTTCTTACATCGAGTAAACGAGTGAACACGCAGCAGAAGCAGCAGCAACCAGCAGAAGCACGCGGTCGAGGTACGCTGCTTGGTGCTTACGGATAGATTAACAAGGGGGAAAACAGGTCTGTACCGACGATACCGCACCTCATTGTCTCGCTCTCTGTGCTACACCCGCCCCGCCCCCAGTGCAGGCATTCTACATTGAGAGGACGTGGTCCGTGGATAGTGACTGATCAGCCCATGACAACATCGGCGTAAGCATCGCTATTTTCCTACTTTTTTCTTCCTGCTAAAACAAGGACGAGAAACAACGATAACGTACCTCTGGACCATATCGACGAGTGACCTTAACCCCCTCCCAAGGCTCCACGGCCTGTGGCGGTTGCCATCGGAGCTCTCCAACCGGGGGCCTAGCGTAAGGGATGCCACTGCGGAGGGAGGGAGGATGAGGCAACGGGAGTCGAGAGCGTTGGTTCACGGTTGCAACGCGACAAAAACAGGAAAAGTTTGTTCGGATGAAATCAACTCAACAACCCTCTCGCTAGATACGCCTTCAGCGCCGTTCAAGCCTCCCGTTTCACCATACGAGCTTGCGGTACAGCAGTACCACTCCGCCCGTTACTTTCTGCATCAATTATACCGCTGGTGGTGTCTGCTACATAGGGGGTCTCATCTGTCGAATATAACTCGCTCGACAACCCGGGCCTCGGCAAAACATGAGGCCATGATGTCCTCCTTGGCGCTCACTTGAAAACCGCAATGGCCTTCTGGAACTCGCGATCGCGCAGGAGGGAGCCTCGTACTACACCATCCGCAGTCTTAACGTCCACTGTCCGGGGGTACTTTCTGAGCCATTCCATAGCCGCCGCAAGGACGTTTCAAGAGAACGCGCACTCTCCAAGAGTAGCGTACTCTCCAAAAGTATGGAACAACCGTTCGAGAGCGTCACTTGGGACCCCGCAGACGAGAATAGCATACCCCTGTCAACGGTAGGTTCTGGGTTGGCAGTAGCCAGTTGGCAGGTAAGGTCGAAGGGATAGATAGGGAGAAGGTACCCCTTTGACAAAGGTGCTGCTCTCCTGAGAGCACCCGGTGCTGCAGTGCCCTTGCCCGGCTGCGCGGCAACAGAGAGACGGCTCGTCGTCACACACGGAGCGAGCCATGAGGCATCCTGACAGCGAGAGCAGGGTCATCTGGGGGCTGAGAGACGTGCACGTGATCGTCTCCATGATCTTCGCGTGCACGCTGGCGTGCTACTTCGAACGGATGGGTTTTTCGATCGCTTTCACCGAGCTCGCCAACTCGGCGAGTCTCAAAGAGGCAGACATGGGAACCGCCATGTCGGCCTTCTACTACGGATACGCGGTCATGCAGCTCCCGGCGGGCTGGCTCTCGGCGCGGTACGGGGGCGCGCGCATCCTGGGCCTGTCCTTCGCGCTGTGGGGCAGCATCTCGATGGTCATGCCGGGCACCGTTCACGATGGCAGCACGACGATCTTAATGGCTTGCCGAGTCGCTATTGGAGCCAGCCAGGGCCTGTTTATCCCTGCATCCCACACGCTCCTCGCCAAGTGGATCCCTGTGCATGAACGTAGTCGATTGGTCACCCTGGCGATGTCTGGCATGTGAGTTGTGGTCCCGAGAAACACCGCGGTGTCTTGGTCGATGATAGTTCGGTTTACAAGCAAGCTGAACAGCAGCCATCAGGAGCAAACAATACACAGAGCAATCACGCCGCACAGCAGTGCTGCAGAGCAGGGCGGACTCTTGAGCAATGCATAGCGAACAAAATGCAAATCGTGGATGCTACCCTAGCATTCACCGGTTTCATGGTTACGCACTGCGGCTGTCCTCGCCGAACAGCAGTTCTTCGTGTTGTTCGAGTGGCGACTACAGCAGCAAAAGAGCCGCGAATCAACCAGTTGTATTACGTACCAGCAGTTCTATCGCATCCACCTGCGGCGGTGTGTACATGCATCGCGAAAGTGCGTTACGGCTGCAGATCGCATCGCATGGGAAAGGGGGCGTCTCCGCCTCTTCCGCCTTCTCACGAGCGCGTTGCACGGCTGATTTCTTTTTCGCCATCTCTCACCTCTACCTCTCGTACCAGCAGAGTATCTTGTAATTCGACGCCAACAAGGACACAGGCTTCCCTCGTTGGGGGGAGGCCCAGGTCGCAGTAGTCTTTACCCACTACTAAAGGCTGGCAGTTCTGTTCGTTGAGATTCAGAGAGGAGAGGGTCTCAGAAAAGAGAGACAAAAGAGAGAGTCCCGCCGAAGGGGCGAGGGAGACTAGCTCCACAGGTAGGGCTAAGAGGGACGAATCCACAGTTGGGTCTCTTGCTGATCAACCATCAGTAATACGTTCGGATCGTATCTTGATCCTACTTTTGTATGTGTGTGCAACAACAATGGTTAGAGCACTTCTACACCTGTAATCCACACGTCCCCCTTTAACTTTCGCGAGCCTTGCAAACAGAGGTTAGGGGCCTATTTTGTGTTTCCATCCATAGGCGTTCTGGCTTGACTGACCTTTGATGACGATAGGGCTTCAACAACACATGTCTCAAGAGTCACTTCTTGTGTACCCGATACCCGAGGTTGTAGTGATGCTTCGCTTCTGATGACGAGGCGCCGGGTGAGCTTGCGGGTTGCCGGCGGCCCCGAAAATGTAATTGGAATTCGTTCCGATAACACATAATACGGCCAAGTGTTGCTGTGTTGCTGTAGCGGGGCATCGGTTTGGAGTCTGACTACGCGAGGGCGAGGCCCGAAAACCTCATGAAATGACCTTCTTGTTCTTACTTCCCAACACAGCGAACCATCTTGTATCCACAGTTGAGCCCAGCATAATTGCCACTAGTTTTACGGAGATTGGGAGCTTCACGCTTTGCGACGGGGTTGTACCGAGACGAAGAAAGGGAGCACACCTAAGAGCAGCGCTGTCGTCGATGCCCCCGAAAGGAAAAACCGCACAGACTAGTCGCTCAGACAGATATCCGGTCGCCGTTCGACTGTGAACAATAGTAACGCCACGTTTGAACTACTGTGCAATTACTTCGTCGATTTTGTGCCGTTTCGGGATGACTTCGGGGAAACTGATTTGATGAACATAGCCATGGTGACATACACTCGATATTCGTCGTTCGAACATTCTTCGTGTACTCACTATCACTAGCTCCTCCCCGGCCTGCCCCCCCGTCCCTCGGGTAGGCCGAGGTTCCGCAAGTGGATCTAGACCTCGAAAGACCACCCAGCAACGACGGATATACGGTCCCTAGCACTGTTAAGAGGGGGATTCTGAGTTTGGCGGTTGGGAGTTACTGCTGTCGTGAGATCGGGGTAGCTCCTGAGCCGCCAGCTTTGGTAGCTGCAAAATGAGACTGGATCCTGACGCCCCGGCTTGGACACCGGGACTATGCAGCAGCAGAGAGCACGGTGAGGGTGGCGGAGTGGCCGCACGCCGTGGGGGTATATGCCCCAGAGAGAGGAAAGTAGAGAGTCCAGAGATGGAGGGCCACACCGCTCCGGGACAAGAAGACAACTCTATGGGAAACAAGGCAAGAACCGGGGTAACTATCACGTTAGCCCGAGTGTTCGCAAGAAAATAATAAAAAAACAAAAAAAGAGGGGAAGATGGACGAAAAGGAGGGGTCGGGCGGCGCGTAGGCTAGCTAAGAGAGCAGCGCGCGCCGCGCGAAAGAGACAGCAGGGTCAACTTCTTAGGGTAGCAACCTGGAATGTGCGGACTTTGGCTGTAAACGGGGCCAATGGATACGGGCGAGCTTACAGCGTTCTACACGAGGCAGCGAGACAAGACGTATCGGTGGTAGGAATGCAGGAGACACGGAGGGCAGGTCGAACGGAATTTGCAGCAGCGGGTTTCCGGGTGTTCTGCTGTGGCACGGAGACTGGTGGAGTCCATGGTGTGGGGATAGCCGTCAAAGAGTCACTGTGCAAGACATCCACGTTCACTACGGAGTTTATCGACGAACGCCTTATGGCCATGAGGTTTCTGTTGGCAGGCCACCGTGGAGCGGTCACCTTCGTAGCCGCGTATGCTCCAACCGAACCTTCAACCGCCGACAGCAAGCGCGTGTTCTGGGGAAAACTTGACAGTCTCGTGCGGAGGATCCCTTCCAAAGAATGTGTGTATGTCCTACTGGACGCCAACGCGCGGACGGGAGATAGGTTGGACGGAGGGGACGGAAGGGTAATATGAATTTACGGGCGTGATGAGCTCAACGACAATGGCATGCTGCTGTTGAACTTCAAAACCGAAAACAGGCTAGCTCTCACGAACACGTTCTTTGAGACA